CATCAGTGAAGTGGCACTGCTGTGGCATTCGATGGAAACTAAAACACCAGCACCTCCCCTTTGCCCCAGGAGCCCTCTTGTCAGAAAGGCCTCTACTTCTGATTTGACTTCTTCTTGGCCCAGTGGGAGCTCATTTCCTGATTCCCAGTAGAAGTGTGCAAATTTTGGGACACTCTCTTCCTTCTGAGTTTTTGGGGGGCTAAAGCTCCCCATCAGCCTTCCTTTCTCCAGTGCAAACAACCCAGAGCCCCCACCCCCCCGTCTTCGGCTCCCATGTCATTCCCAGCCCTTCCAAGGAAGGAAGTGAGTGAATCAGCCCTACTTGAGCAGGAGCCCTGAGCCCACTCTCCACCCTCATCTGCAGGGTCCCTGAGGTCTCAGGACACAGAGGTGACCTGAACTTGAATCCTAAAATTCCATCACTCACTTAAAAGCTGTGTGACTTGAGACAGATTGCTTCATTTCTCTGAGCTTTCATTCTTCCGCTCTGGGGGAAAAGGAGGTGATGAGATAATATTTGATGGCTCCCGGGCCTGAGGATGGAGGAGTGAGCTCCCTCCCCGCCCCCCACCCCACCTCGGGTGGGGGGGGGGAAGGGGGCGGGCAGCAGCCCAGCCTCTGAGCAGCACGCGCACGTTCCAGGAGCGTCTGTTCCCAGCTCCGATTCACCAAGGCGCCCGCACCTTGTCAGAACTCCATCTGTCAGGAATTTATTACTAATGCATTTTATAACAGGCTTTATAATAAGATATTAAAGACTGTGGCGGCATCCAGCAAGCATTCCATAAATATTAATAACGCCTTTAGAGACGACACCTACAGTGGAAATGGTAGGGCTTCTTGCGGAGGTGGGGTCGAAGGTACAGAATAAATCGAATTGAGGAGGGTACACCGCGAAGATGAGAGGCTACGGTGTGCTCTACTTCCTTTCTCTTGGCACCTCGAACTTTTGTACTTTTCCTTTGTTCACAACTTTCCCTCTGCACTCTTTTTCTCCCTTTCAGTTTCTTCCTCTTTCCTTCCCTCTCTCTTCTTAGGCGTGCTCTCCCACCTCACCCCCATCGCCCTTTGCTCCCCTGTTGTGCTCTTTCACTGTCCCCTCCTAGTTTCCTTTGTCCCTGTCACCTTCTTCTCCCTCCCCTGCCCCCTTCCTTACCATCTCTCCTTCTCCGTTTCCTGAGCCCTCCCTCTCTGCCGCTCCACCTGCCCGGCCCCTTCCTCCCTTCTGCATGCACCCCCACCCCCACCCCACTGTTCCAGTGAGCACCCCGAGCCACCTCTGTAGAAGCCTGGAGTGTAATGTAACTCACACTGCATGTGAGAAGTGAGCTATTTATCATTATTATTAACGAACAAGATCCCTTGCACAGCAGAACATTCCCAGAGTCTATTCCCTTGTCACCCCAGGAGTAGCAAAAAGATTTATTTGTCTCTGAATTGCACAGGGTGGCCCATTTGCAGCGGGTCCATCAGAAGTGGCATGGAGCTTAACCGGGAACTGGAAGAGGCGGGGGCCTGCCCTGTCTGCGACCTGCGTGGAGTGGGCCCCTGCTGAGAGGGACCCAGCTGGCAGTGCAAGTGTTTTGCGGGGGGGTGGTGCCTAAACACTGGTCCCTGCCTCCCAGGAGGCATGGGCGGTGCATCTGGGGAGATTTCCCTTGAAATGGCCCAGAACCTATGAGGGAGTGGGCAGGCCTGGGCGGGAGAAGGAACGGTCATAGAGGAAGGGGTGCTAGGAGCAGAACTGGGGCAGAGAAGCAAACCAAGAGGCCTATCTCAGAGGCAGGAGCAATCACGCCCCGTGGAACCTTTCCTCCAAAGACCAGCCACCCCTTTCCAACAAGAAAGTGGACTCAGGGCCAAGTCTACAATGAACATGTGGGGAGAAGTTGCCCTAGAACGGGGCGGCCCACGTCGACTGGAATGGGCCTTTTGGCCCTGCCTCCACAGCTCAGGACCACCCTGGCAATGCTTCTGTAGACCCCTGAACCCCAAGCCTAGACTCCGTAGGAGTACCTGCCCCTGGTTTCCTTGCCTCCAAATGGGCAGAGCCTGGCCTTGCAGAGCATTGCTCATCCAGGCCTGTCTTGGCTGAGTGTGTCAAGCCCATGATCAAGCTGTCCCCTGCCTGCCCCTGCCACCTCCACATTCATGCTGATCATTGCAATGACCTGAATGGATTTGCATGTTAAATGGAGTGTCTGGGGACGCTTAAAAAGGAGAGGGAGCCCGCATTCATTCATCTAGGCTGTTTTATTCTTCTCCCCATTATTACCTCCCTTGCCCCCAGCAGTCTAGGAGCAGTGGTAGGGAGCTTTGCTTTCTGTGGCCCAGCCTGGGCGTTAAAAGGACGGAATCCCTGCAGGCAAGAGTCAGGCTGAGCCTGGGGCAGAGCTGCAGGAACGAGGAGGCCTTGCCTGTGGCTGGATACATTCTGGGGGTGCCACGGGGCAGGCAGGAGCTGAGACCCATGGAGGACAGTGTAAGCCAAGGGGGTAGCCACGGGAAGGACAGCCCAGATTGAGTCTCTACGCCACAGCCAGGGATAGAAAATGAAGTCCAGGCAGGGCCTGTGACGACCAGGGTAGGGGAGGCTCTCAGAGGCCTTTGTCTCTGCTTTTCTGTCTCACTGTGCTCATTGTCATCGCTGCACATGGGCTTCCTTGGCCTGCCCGTGGCTTCTCTGCTGCCTGGTAACTGTGGCTTTCTGCTTGCCATGGTGCCCACCCCAGCCCGAACAGATAGCAAGAACCTTTGTCAGGTTTGTGCAGAAAATTGGTTTAACTTGCAAGGCCCCATCTGATTGGCCTGTTTGAGTCAGGTGATTACCCCTGGACCAATCAGATGTGGCCTAGGTCTGAAGGCGCTTGGTACAAACTTGGCTGCCTACATCCATCCCCTTGAGCAGAACTGTGAGTACAAAGAGCATCTTTACTTGGAAAAAGTGTGGGCTGGGAGGCAGGGGTTGGCAGTCTCTGGGTGGGGCAAATAAAGCACTATATGTAAGGCGAGGCATCATATTTCCAATTGTGGCTGGACTGGATAATCCCCAAGGCTCCTTCCTGCTCCTACATGCAAGCCATCCCCGAGTGGTGCATGGTCAGGCCTGGCCTCGGGTTCAGGAGCTGTCTCCAGGCCCCCCCTCCGACCCCTTCCCCAGACCCCAGCCCTCCTCTCCCAGGCCCTCCAAACCGGCTGGGGAGGGTCTCCAGATGTTCTCCTACCCTGGATCTGTCCGCAGCAGCCATGAACCAATCAACAAAGATGTTCTCTTTCTGAATTTTTAAATGCCCGTTTGTCTAGGTTGACGATGAAGAGATTGATTGGCTGTTTTTAATATCTCCCTTTAAATAGAGCTCATCTCACCCTGCTTGTGATGGTATTTTATTACCATAATAATAATTGCAACGACCATTTATTGAGTATGGTTCAATATTGCCGTGTGCCTGGCTCAGCAAGAAGTTTTTTGGGTTTTTTTTTTTTTCGTACCTTGTCTCACTTAATTCTTTCTTACAACCCTGGAGGTAGGTACGGTTAACAACTCCATTTTTACATTTTCCCTGGTACAGGGAAACTGAGCCAAAAGAGTAAGTTCAACAGCAGAAGTTTGAGGTCTCCAGCCAATAAGTGGAGAGAGAGGCTGGGACTCAAACTTGGTGGGGGGGGGGGTGCGGGGGGGGGTCTGACTCAGCATCTCTGCTCTGAGTCACCAAGTTCTACTGTCTGCTTGGAAGCCCAGGTGTACCTGGCTTCACAGAAGAAATCTGCTTGCATTGAAGGGGCAGATCTTTAAAGGGGGTACATCTGCACATTTGCATGAAATAGCTTCGTACTTGGAAAAGCCCCCATTGTCGGTGCTGATGAGCACCACCCCCCGCCCCATTCCCCTGATAGAGCATGGCACCCGGGACCTGAAAAGCAGGAAGTCAGCATTCTTTTCCCTCCAATGGCTTGTCCCTTCTAAGTATATGAATGTCTCTTTGCCAGGCCCGTTTAAAACCTTTCCTAAGTTACGCACAAATTAAATGGGTTTTCACTGCCGGGCATGAAACATAATCTAAGAAGGTCAGACACAGGGCCATTCCCTCTTTTTCCCCCTTTTCCCTGTCTTCTTGGATCTCGCTTTTAAATCCTCTAATCAGTTGCCCAGAGAGCCTTTGCTCCGGACCGTGAGGTATGCACGGGTGAAATGTCCCCTGCTCCCCGAGGCAGGGGGCTGCAGAGCTGACATTCTCGAGGGAGCCATCCCTCCCCTCTGGGCGCTGGCTTCATGTGGGGTGTGCTCTGAAGTGCTGTCTAGCAGCCTCACAGGGGGCTGGCTGCTCTGAAATGGGAACATGTCCCTTCCTCCGGTGGCAGAACCCAGGCCCTGATGGAATGGCTTGGAGGGTTAGGCTGGCTCCGGTGCTCACATGTGCTGTGCGTGTTGGATCTAGAGGGAGAACCGTAGTTTGGCTGAGAGGCTTGTAAAGATCTCCTCAAGCCCCGTGCCGTCGTGGTGGCATGTGAGGGCGGGGACCGGCTCCACTGAGCCCAGTGCCAGAGGGCCTCAGACTTCGGGCCCCTGCGTGCGGTGGCCCCGGGTATGTATGTTCAGAGTGCCTGTGTCCATCAGGTCCCCGGGGAACAGTTCATCTCAGTTCCAATAAAGGCATTTCAGTGAAGAGACATCTTACAGAGGGTGGGCAGGGCGAGGGGGCATGAAGGGCTGTTGAGGCACCTGAGACCAGCAGCAGCCCTTAGGGCTGCCTGCCTGGATCCCACTGAAGGCTGCAGCCAGGGAGGAGGGGCGGCTGGCCTGGAGTGGAAAAGTATCCCCCAGGCTCCTTCTCCTCCTGCCTCTTTCCCAAACTCTGAGCTCCTACCAGCACCTCCCCCTGGCAGAAGCTAGTCTGCAAGGGAACCTGGGGGTGGATGCTGTCCACTGAGGTCTTGCCGGGGGCAGGGGGGGTGGGGAGACAGAGCAGGGTACTCTGTGCATCTGGAGGGTGCAGACAGAGGATGCCCAGCACGGTATTATTAATATTCATCGTGCGTCTTGACACCTGCCTGCCCTCCCCTCGAAGGCGTTCTTGTCTACAAGTCTTCTGGAAGGCACCAGATGACAAAAATCGCAACTGCCAACTTCTAAGCACTTATTACATGCTGGGAAATTTGCACTCCTGAGCTCACGTTCTCTTCACACTAACCCTATGGGACGTTATTGACTCCGGTGGACAGAGAGGGGATTAAGGATCAGAGAGATTAAGGAACCCAAAGACACACAGCGAGGCTGGGGCTCCAGCAGAGGCCTATCGATCCCTGAAATCCTGGCACTTGTCCGCTCTGCCCCCTTGCACACTTGATGCTCTTCTGGAGGGAAAGAGAGCATCTGTTTTCCAAGCCACCGAGCTGAGGAGGGAAGGCCTAGCAAAGGAAAAGGAGGTTCAGAGGCTCCAAGGTGTGAGGCAGCCTGCTGGGTTTGGAAAGTACAAATAGCTTTACCTACCAGGAAATATTAAACTGGTAAGAATAGATGCTACACATGATCTTAGCTAAAGGCCACGAAGGGATACCTGCCAGGAAATAAAGTATGAAGGAGGAGACGGGGTCAGACCATGAGGGCCTGTGTCCTATGCAAAGGGGCACTGGGGAGTCATGGATGGTGTGGAGGAGAGGGGACTCCCTATCTGCCTCCTGTGCTCAGTGCTGGTGGGAGAAGGACAGGTTATGAGCCTGTTTATTCAGCCTGACACATGCTCAGCGATGGGGGAGAATCAGCACACTCAGAAAGAAACAATGGCAACTCCATCACATCGTTCTCCCGAGGCCCCTTCCAGCCTAAGCAGGGGTCTTGTAGAGAACACTCTTGCCTCAAGCAGATAGTCCCGGGGAAGGGTTGCCAGCATGCCCCAGTGAAAGAAGTTGCTCAAAGCGGTGACACAGGGCCCACGTCATGGCCAGCAGCACAGACAGGAGGCAGCAACGCGGATGCCTTCCTCGAGAGAGACCCTGCAGGTGACAGAAGGGACCCAGTCATTATCCCAGCGTGAAAAAAAACGCAGGACCAGGAATACTGTCTCTGCCCTCAGGGAACTTACGGCCTAGTCCCTCACTCCTGGCCAGGAGGCTTCACTCAGGCTGGCAGCTGACCCCTTCACACAGAAGAGTCAGGACGAGAACTGCCATCGGTGTTTTAGAGAAGTATTTAGCGTAGAGCTTGAGATTGGTGGCTTAGAATTGGACCTGATTTCAAGGCCACCTTCTACCATTGCCTAGCTGTGTGCCTTGGGCAAGGCACTTCACCTCTCTGAGCCTTAGCTTCCTTTTCCAAAACCGGATACTAGCTGCCACCTAGAAAGCTACTTGTCACAGAGGTGGACAGACGCAGCGCACAGCACAGGACCTGGCACGTAACAGTCAGTCGATGGGAGCGGGGATTGTTTTTACCCTCTCGTCTCTACGAAGAGCCTCATTAGCTTGCCCATCTTCAGATGTGCCCAGAGCTCACTAAATTATGAATCGGTTCCTTCGCCCAGCATTTTGCCGGCATGGCTCGCGTGCCAGGCCCTGTGGCGGGCTCTGCGGTGACGAGAGTTGGCCGTCCGGCAGAGATGCAAACAGATCCCGAGAATGTGCTGAGCGCTCTCTGGGCGGCTCGCGCATGTCTTGAGACAGGACACTGACTGAACACCTGCCGTGTGCCAGGTACTGTGCTAGGCAAGGCAGCTGGAGCCCTGTGGCTTCCACGGAGCACGGGCGCTGTGAGGGAAGACAGGTGGGGGCCAAGGAATTATAGAAGATATGTGGATGATGAAAGCATCCAGGGTGAGGTGGGAACCTTAATATAAACAGCGGGGGGGGGGGGGGGCGGGGGAGGGGCTGACCTGCCTTAAGGGT